AGTAGAGAAGGCCTTTACCGGAAGCCAAAGCTCTAACCAATTGAGCTACAAAACCCCCAACGGCCTTTATCGGAAGCCAATGCTCTAACCGCTAAGCTACAAACGCCCCACCTTGCGCCATGAATTTAGTCACACTTGGGTCGAATATTACCCGCCCAACTTTACCGCCCATATGGAATCCACCAATATGGAACAGCAAGCTGACTGCCCAATAAGGATTTCTTATGAATCAACCAGAATCACTATTAGGCTGAGTTAATTATTAGGAGGTTTGGCAGATTTGCTTAATTTGATTTGACCCAATTGTGAAAATCTCGCCGAACGCCTCGAATATTATCATAATTGGGTCAACTCATATTAAGCAAATCTGACAAATCTATTAGTACTTACCTTTATTTCCTTTAATAAATCTGACCTGACCTGCACGAATCACTGGGGTGTTCGCAATTGGGTCGGCATATATAAATGCATATGATTATCAGTTTCGGACTTATTACTATATAAGCAAGAATTTTTCGGTGTCCGCACACTCAACAAAACATGAGCATGTTACGTATTTATTACTTTTCCTCATTTGTCCTTTTCATCTTATTTTCGTACAAATTTGTTATTCATATAAAACTGTATATCATCGACCTGTCGCAGAGTCCGTTTATGGATTTGACTGCCTTCAGTAAAACAAATTAATTCTTAATTATACACCGAAACATGCCTCATTTTAAGGATTTATTTTTCCTTTCACGCCGTATAAGTGCTGTATGTCAGAAAGAAGTCGATGACGCTCCAAGAATTGCATCAAGTCTTTCATGACTATTCGCTCCGCAACCTTGCAGCGTATGGAACTAAAGCCTACCGGCCTATGGTTGTTTGCGGACTCCTGACTCCCACGTTTGTGTATGGGTGAGATCCACACTGTCTTCCAAATAGGGTGGCAATTGGCCTGTATTAAGGGAGGCCCGGAAGAATAAGTACATGGGTTCTGCCAACTCCACGGCTAGCTCTTTCAACACCTTTGCAGATATGCCATCCGGACCTGGCCACTTCGTGTCTTGAAGCTCAATATGTTCTTGCAGGACAGAAACTTCTGTGAGCTCAACTGAGTCGATGGATGGAATCTCCTGTGCTCTAAAGGTAGCAGTGGTTAGCTCGGCCTCTTTCGTAAAAACCGACTGAAATAACCCGAATAAATGTTCACCCTTCGTCATATTCTTGTAATGTTTGACATTCTTATCCGTTTTTAACAAAGGAATGGGTCTCTGTTTCGAGTGAATTGCCTAAAGTAGCCGTAGAAGGGCTTTGGATTTCCTACTACACGGTTTTTTGGTCACTCTCGAAGCTTTGGCGAATTTTTAGTACAAGCACCTTATTCCAATTTCTCTGCCCCTTTTATTTCTTTTGCAATTCGTCGGTCTTCTCTCTAAGATATCATTTCCACAGCTTTCGGTTATGATTTGGTTGCCTCTTCACTGTGTTCGTTAGCCACCTATTTGTGGCTTTCCTTTTCGAGATGGGGTAGAAACAAATGATTTTTCCGTGTAATACGGCCTTAAACGCCGAAGAAGCCAAGTGGACACACCCGGTGAATGCCTCCTTCCAGCCTTACCTGCACACTTTGGGTCTTATTAGAGTAAAGCCTCCGCACAATATGTTGTGTGTGATGGTCGCGTTACGATCAGGTACAGAGAAGAGTCAATAATTCCACTGTAGTACAACATGTTCACTTTTGCCGACAGGAGGTACACAATGTACGACGCCTACACTGTCAGGCGCTTTTTTTAGAGTACAAGGTCCAGACGGTTGATTTGTTGCCCTTCATGCAGCTTAGTTGGAGATAAGAAGTGTTGTGATACAAAGGCTTTTTGTACCCTGCATAGGAGTCGGCGATCGAAGCTTACTTCTGTCCCAGTCGCAGAACTGAGGTTCCAGTCGATATGCGTAGCGTTAAAGTCTTCCATAATCATGACATTGGATTGCACGGCAAATGTTTAAAATTCCTCTTTCAGGCTAGTATGTGCCTGTGGGTCGTTCGACGGTGGTCGATAAACTCCCAGGATGTCAAAATTTTGTAAACCCAAAGGGTCTCCATTTCGGACGCGAGCTTGTCAGTATTGTCTGACACAATCAGGCCATGTCTAACAAAGGTGAGCATACCCCCACCTTGACGCCCGGCTGTATCTTTTCGGAACAGGTGAAAACCGGGGAGAGCGATTTCCCGATCGTCTACGTTCTCGAATAACCATGTTTCTGTTATAAAAACGACATCTGATTCCATTTTGCACATAATAACCTTGGAAGCCAATGGATGATGGTGAAGTTTTGGTTGTCAACGAATGAGAAGTCGCGGTTCTTCGCAGGGGCCCATACAAAATTCAATCTTGCAAAGTTGTAGCAGGCCAAATTTACAGTAAAACTTGTTCAGTAAAAATAGACTTCTAGAATAAAAAATTAATATAAGGTGTTAAATTGAAGGCTGAAAAGATAAAAGCTTCAAATATATGCCCGAATCCCTAAGGCCCTACAAGATCAACCCCGACCCGTAGCAGAATTCGTTCACGCTTTCGGAGGTTGTGTTATTTCTGCGTCCGCTGCTGGTTCGTCCAATCTTGTATGCTGGAGCCCCCGTTGTTTTTTCGTGCTGCCAAGACGCTAAGGTTAAGACAAAGTAAAGAACAAGCGTTATCAGTCAGCCATCAAACTATTGGCAAGGATATGGTCACCGGTCTGCACCAGAAATATACTACAAGGTACAAAAAAAGCAAACCAATCCAGACTTGGCTGGAACAAGAACTTCATCAGACTGGCGTTTTAGATTCTTCTTCTCTCTCTCTCTCTCTCTCTCTCTCTCAAACCCTTCGGTAGCTGCGATTAACCTCGCTCCTGACCTCTGACATGACTCCGCCATTGCGTTTCTTGGCAATCCGATGTTGGGTACGCCGCTTGCGGACGCAGACTCAAATAGTGTCGACCAGGATAAGCGTAGCTAGCAAGACTACCATGGCGTCGAGAAAGATTGTAAGGTTGGCCCCGGAAACACGTGTGTGGACACCTTTGCGTGCTGACGACTTAACGCTGACGACTTCGCTGCTCCCTCAAAGGCCCTGACACAAACGAGTTGGCGACTTTAGGTGGTCATGGTGAGGCAGTCCAGCGTCGCATTAGGACATTTTGCGGTAGAGTGAGGGAGCACTTAAAAAGTAGCAAGATTATTCGCCTATACTGGTTGCTTATGAAAAACAACAACGAATTTTCTTGAATAGGAAATGACAAGGAACAGGAGCAAAAAGGACGAGCACGTACCATAACCGGATTGGTGAGTGCTAGCCGCAGGAGTGT